TTGTTTTTCATTATTAAGAAGTTTCATATTTTGTATGATCATTGATGACAATAGATGACTGCGGCTTGTGAGTATTTCTGTTAAAACAGACCTATTCTGAACTTCTCTTTTTTCCTCATCGCCGCAAACAAATAAACTACAGATAGACAAAGATGACAAATATGGCAGGAATGTTGCATCCTAACTTCACTTTACCAGTTGTGTACAAAGTCTGTGAGGAATCAAGAAAATTTGGCAAGAGTTCCATGTATGGACATCACGCTGCATATTTAAACACAATAAGACTAACAAGAGTACATGTAGTCCCTTCAATATATTCTCTGCTAAATTTGGTATTTTAGGACAAGCTGCCCCTTTCTAATGGCTGATATATATCTTTAGGGTAACGTTATTGATGTCCGTGTATGGAAATGTTACCAAAAAATTTCCATACAAAATTGGATATAATATTTCCGACTCTGATTCATGTATTTTCAGCATCTCTGTAGTGACTGACCTTTATGGATTTATTGAGACGACATGTTCCCCCCCTAAAGAGTAGAAGCAGGATGCAATGGTACATTCTTTCCTCTCTTAATCCACTTTGAAAATATCATGCATAATTTATCACTTCATTACCAATGCAAAGTTAGTTACTTATTCTTCAACATTCAGTGTTGAACAAGTACGGTATTCAACGTTGAATAAGTGACAGTTTGACATTCAGCAAGCCATCAGGATGCACACCCTCAACAAAGCCCTTGCTACCATTCAGGTTGTAACAGAAATGATGGAGTGCAAAAGGGACAAAAAACAAGCTGCACTACTATGCCCATCCATTCACATGTTGCTTATTTACATTGTACATGTACATACCATTTCACCATGATGTATACACACCCAAATCTTTCCCACTGAGGCAACTCTGGGCATGCGGGTTATCAGGGTCAAACAAGCCCTCAAATGTAGGCGACTCTTTTGCACCAACAGTCAGTTATGCCTGCTATTTTCATCAAAACTTCAATTAAAATACCAGTACATCAAGCCCACGCCCAAGAATAAACTTCCTTTCAGAGTGTTTTTGTTCTCTTTAGTAACCCACTCCCTCCATTTCAACAAAGGCACAATGCAGTTTCCCACAGTCAAAACAGCTTTCTTGTTGGAGTTCTTAGCTTGCAAATCACAGTTGGAAAGTGAATGCATCACACCACACTTTTCTCAAATTGATATAAAATACCCAAACCCAACGCCCTGCCTCAAAATTAAAACGAATCTGATCTCACTGTTCTCCTCAATCACTGACGACTCATTGCAATCCAGGGCATGGGGTTTTGGGGGTCAACCAAGCCCTCAAATGTAGGTGATGGTTTTAACACCAACACATTGTTTTTTGTTACTTTTGCACACCATCTGTCGCAACCAGAATTTCAGCAGGGGCTTTGATAGGGGTGTGCATCCTGAGCATTATTTATTTAACATTGGAGATCAAACAGTTACATGTTCAACAATGAATGTCAAAGGTCAAGTGAGGAATAAGTCCCTTAATTTACGGAATATACGCAACGGTTTATATGTTGATTCTCACGCTGAAAAATGTCCCTATGGCTTATGCTCCAAGCGGCTTATACACAACATCTGGAGAATGAAATCAGTCACTAAATGTCGTGCTTTGCCTCAGTGCACCCTAGCCCAAACCACTGGCTGGCTGGCTGGCTGGCCGGCCATGCATGCAAGATCTGTGGCACTCCGAGGACAAGGCTGTCATGCTTTCGTTGGTTGTCATTCACATTCAGTCTACTCACATGCTAGAAATAATGGAAACCAGTCCAGAGTGATTGAATGGACATCACAATTTTCGGAGGCAGGGGATAGAAAGTTTGTTTCATTGTTTTCATTTTAAACACAATCGGCATGAACAGAGCCATTGTCAGAGGGTGGAAGCGATATTGGTGAATACAAATTTTTTTTTTTTCAAAAATACTCATGCTCTGAAACCTTGTTCCCTCCCTTTTTAAGATCTATAGGTTACTTAGTCTGAGTAACTTGGACTCTACAAATCACCTTTTTTACCATTTGACCATGGTCATCAGGCAATAGTAGAGTCCAAGTACATGTACCTTCCATAGGCTTTCTATCACTTTAATTCAATCACTCAAAATAGCTCATACCCCAAATCAAAATCCTCCAAATTCACCTCCAAAACGGTCCTTAAACTATCTAATGCATCCTGCTGAGGATTAAATGAGATACGGATTCCTGAGCACTGAAAATTTGGCATACAGTTACGGTGTGACCACATCTATTGTACATTGTGGTGCTCAGTCGTCTCGGCATGCAAAAGGCAACAATGACAAGCAATAGCTGTTGGGTCAGAGTACATGTGAGTGTACCATTGCACTCTGAACTCTGTCTGTGGAGCAAGTGCCGTCTCGCACATGGCTCGCTGTGATCTTTGGTCACACCGAAGATTGCCTGCGAGCCATGTGTAAGAGAAACTGCAGTGGTTCAAAACCCTACCTGACCCAAACATCAGTGAATACCATCAAATAAGTTTCACTCACATCAATTAAAACAATTTAGAGCTTATTTAGAGTCCTTATGCATTTTCAATTTGGCTATAGAAAGACATTTTCGCGATGGATGAATTGACAAAAGTGCATCAGTATTCTACATTGCTGAGGGCACCGTCTATTGACAGTTCTTTAAAATGTCTGGAAAGGACATGCACCCCGTGACTACCGTAGTTTGAAAAACTTCTGTGATCACAAGAAAGTCATCTCAGTTTGGAAGTGGGATTATTATGCACTTGTATTTCATTGCAACATAACAGGAAAGGAAGGGGAAATGAAGAAAAGAAATCATGTGACTTCATTTCACGTTCATTTAATGTTCTTTGAATTTCTTGAATTCTGTAATTTAATTTACAAAATATTTTTTCTTTTATGAGAGGTATTATTTCAATAGAGTAAGTTCCTCACTTGGTCTAGGTCCTCTTTCACTAAGCATTTATGTGATTAACAGTATGAAGCAATCTAAAAAACTGAACAAGTTGCCTTTTCCCAGTGACTCTTTCCCATTCAATCATGTTTTTTAATTCTTCCTAAAGAAGCCGTATACACTGGGTGACTCAGTGCATTCTGAACCTGCGAGGTCAGGGTATGGGATTACATGTATTTTGCTGGTGATCTATAATCTTCCAGTTCAAGTTGAAATAGACCATGTTTCTGTCCATGGAGGTACCTGTATCTCCACCTCAATGTTCTGTCATGATTTTTTATCTGCAAGAAAACGCAATTTTAATTTTCAGTATAATTTATTTCTCAGAAGTCTTTGTCAAAAACTTTAATCAACATTTCTATAGAAACAAAACCACATAAAATGTGTTGAAACATTTCACAATCAAAGAGCTGAATTCCAAATCAAATATCCTACTTGGCCAATTGCTGGGCGGTTTGAAAAACTCTCTTATCCCCTATTCTAGGCCATGACACAACACTTTAGTTCAAGATAACCACAAGCAGTTAGAAATGACATCGTTTGGATCGTTTACAAGACAACTGGAGCAAAAAACATTTCTTCACCCTGCAGCGTTCGTTGGGATTGACAAGCGACATCACCCCTGACAAAAAGCTACATTTTTTCAACTACTATTCAGTTTAAATTCCACCTAAGCTGTGTTATAACCCTCAAATTACGACTAACCTTCGTACATAAAGTCCACACAATTACAACCAAGTCAATGGCATTTGAGCGAATGGGATGACACTGAGCGCTGGGCCTGACATCATAGGCTGAGTTCAGGCAGCTTGTTCTTGTATGTTCAAAAATAGCTCGATTTGTTGTTCTTGGGTCGGCCGCTCCAATGCCAGGAACTTACAACCAGATATCGCTGGTAGTTAGTCACAAACAACATGCAACATGGCGGGTCCTTGTTAGTTATTTGAGAGTTATGTTTGGATAACTGGGCTGAATTCTTTTCTGTTTAAACAGGAACATTCATTTCTGTGTTATGAAGAATAATTAATGTTAGTTTTGCAAAGTTTCCTATAGTTTCTGGCTTTGTCAGCCATCACTCTATTTTTTGCCATGTTTGCAGCTGTTCAATAATCTCTCTTAAGATATAATTTTGCTTTTTAAAAGCAGGTTTTTTTTATTGACTTTTTTCAAGTAAGTCTTCTGAAAGAGCTAAGGTACTTCAGTGGAATATACATTAAAAGTATTCACACAATAATTTTGGGTGAACATTATTCTCATTAGATACTACTTAACTGATCAAAAGCATAATATCAAAGGAAAAAAAGTCACGAAATGTCTAGGTTTTAAACCACAGTGAACTGCCATTTCAACCAGTCAGTCTACTCGTTACTAAGAATTACACACACATATACAGAAAGCGGCAGCAGCCAATTTCCATATCTTGTGCATGGATGTCTGCGGTAGTCAACCATTTGGTTGTAGCATGTCTTCACAAGTACACATATGAACCGCATGACTCTCAGACGCTGATCGGGAAACATTTGCACCTCTTTTGAAAATCGAAATGGTTTTGGCCCGTCGCCCTATTTTTTTCTTGGTACAAGCTCCCTTACATAGAACTCTTGGGGGGAATGCAGCAGAATTTCTATGGATACACAACCACCACCAATTCCATGTTCATGCCCTGTTAAACATCATGTAGAGCCTATGGCAAAAAAGGCTAGTTTTCTGTGCGGTTCCTGGGAGCTGGGCAGACATTGGCCCAACAGTTCTGGGGGTAAGGGCCTACATGACTTATGCCTAGATGTAGGCCTACAATAGATTCATTTATATAACTACCATAGAGATCCTCCACATTTGATCAGTGGAACATGCATCATGTGACATTCATTACTCCTGCCATTCATGTTGCAGCAGGCACTATTCACCCACGTGCAGATGGTAAAAAATATACAACGGTTAGATCATCCTTGTTTCAACTCAACAAAAGCTGGGTGCAGCAAGTTTACACCAATCACTGCCTAAGAGCAACTTGGTTTCTGTTTTAGACAGCCCAGGCTTTGCTAGTTGGGACATAATGTTTGTCAGTGGGCACTAGTTAACAGCGAACAGTCAATCAAACATTACAAAGAAAAAGATGAATGGCGTCCCAACTGACATCAAACCAGCAGGGCATGTGCTACTCAGATCTGGGTGATGGTAACAGCAGACCACCCATCCATCGTCAGCAATAAAACAGACCAATTGAACATCAACCTACCACTAACCTCATCCCAACAAGAAGAAATCCTTCAGGAACTTTCAGCCACTAGTGTAACTACGGCCCTTAACATCACTAATGATGTGACATTGACCACAAGCCAAAATTTCATTTCCATAGCTCAGTGGTAAACAGAGGACACTCAAGACACTAATTTTCACAATGGGCACCGATTCAGTACAGTCAAAGCATATGTGAAGACTCAGTAAAGTGTTACATTTTGTGATTTGTTTTTATGGAACCTTCTGAAGTTGTAGTCTGCAGGGCAATACTCTGCGTATCACTGACTTGGGTGAGTTGTGCATACTGTCAGCACTGCAAGTATGGTGTGGTGAACATTAACTTTCTTCAAAATTGCGAGCAAAAAAAATTTGGTCTGAAAAGTTATTGGGATTCAAAATTGTTTGAAATTTATTTAAAGATAAATCAAATAACAAGGATCTATATGATTTATGACAGTTACATAAAACAAATAATATTTTTCTTTTGTGTAATGGTAAGAATTCTAGCACAATTGCAAAATACCTCACCACTCACCTAGCCCACCTCATATATGCAGATGCGGAGTCATGCCTGACTGGTCATTCATTGACTCCGTATCCCCGTAGCCATTCCCTGCAACTCACATTGGACTTACAAATTTTTCGACCATCCCCATACAGTTTGTTACACAAGACAACATTCCCATGGAGGCTGTCTTCATAACCCCATATCCACTCCCGAGGATCCACATTGGACTTGGATATGTACATGTACATTTTAACTTTTGAATTCACTTGGGGAGATGACTGTGACATCAGGCTCAATAACTGGAGGGTTAATTTTGTCAAAAGAGGCCCGGGTTTTGAGTTCTGAGGGAAATTCTGAGGGGAAACTGTGTTTTAACACGTGCCACGTGGTGGGTTCAAATTTGTATGGTTACTTTACTTGTAAAAAAGTCACATTTTCTCACAATTTACAATAGAGGGATTTCACATTAGTGCCATCTGCGCACATCTGCATTGAAACCGAGGCTCTGTGTTGACCTCCTCGCGCACGCCCGCAGAGTCCACACAGTACGTGGAGTATCCAGTTCGTAAGTGTGACACCACTTTAGTTTACACCATGCCCACTGCACAAGATACACGACCATCGCAGGTACGTTAGTTCGCGGTCAATTGTCTTTATTTTTTTCTTTTGATTTTACATGTTGAGTCTTCCTGAAAGACTCTTCCACAAAATTTGCAGCCTGAAAAATCTGAATTTAACATACCTTTACGTATTTTTTGTCTTGACTCCTCACTTTCAATCGTCTGATCGTATTAAGAATTGAAGCTGACACATACAGCCTCGTTTTCAAATGCGGAAGTGTGCAGATCGACGCTAAAAGCATCGTGTTGGAATCCCTCTATTTGAAATTTCCACAAAATAAGGTCAGCGCCATACATGCCATAAAGATAGTGTTGCCTTTGCTCTTGTGGGGGGGGAGACTTTGCAAGATTAACCCTAGCCCCACTAGTGTGACCCCTCATCGTCTCAACAGCTGTTCCATGTCAAAAAATATGTAATAAACGGACTGAGCGATAAGATACTACACGTGCAGTACCAATGGGCTCTTCCAAAACTTTGGCAGCAGTTTAGATGTCTTGAAAAGGAACAGCCGTCGAGACGTTGAGGGGTCAAGTGACGGTATTGTTCAACAACTTTATTTTAAAGATGGCGACTGAGAGAGCGAGCCGTTAGACTGAATGGATAAAGGCAAAAAGACTGAAAAATACCTGAATAACGTGAGTGAAATCATTCAATAGATGGTTTTTAGAAAACGGAAAGGTCAAGGATCACGTTCGTGTGCTAAAGAAATTGCGCCCACGATGATAAGTGGGTGCGCCGAAAATGTTCAGTACGCCGACACGAAATTGCGCATACGGATGTGTGGCTAAGGGTGGACAGGGAGTCCGTGCCACACTAGTGGGGCTAGATTAAATGATTAAAATGTACAAAAAAATGGGGCCCTCAAGTACGCCTATACAATCCCCGTCATTCATACCACAGAGGAAGAATTTCTTCCATATTCTTACCCTCCGGTACTGTTTGAAAAACTGCATGCCTCATCATTCCACGTCCAGGTTGGCCCAGCAAATCCTCGCGAAACTTTGTCAAAATTTTACGTAGTCCAACTCAATATACAACATGTGATGTCGGCAAGTAATGTAGCATGCCGCCCTCTTGCGTCAATTCCCGCTGGGCTATCCGCTCCGAGCAAGAGCAAGGAGGGCGTGTTTTGAAATGAAATTGACAGTCGCTTGGTACCATTGGGTACATTCCACCAAATGGTTGTATTTATGCGCACTGGCTCATTAAAATTTTGTTACCCCTCGGAGTTTTTACAAAAAGACATGCCATAACCAGGAGGGATCATAGAAATATTTCTATAAATCTCGAATTTGGGACTGAAAGTTTCCAGTTTGGGGTATTTCTTTCACAAAAAACCGAAATTGCGGGCCTATTTTAGATAGGGGCGGGCGGCCACACTCATAGCTGAGTGCGTAGTTTTACTACTATTGGGGGTATCTTCCGGGAAAGGGGAATAAAAAAAATCGTGGCTAACCCCCATAACATTCCCCAATTATGTAAAGTACTTACCTGCAATGTAATTGGAATTATATAAGACAAAGGAGGAGAGACTCACCCTGTATATTCTTTCGTTGTATTGCAATCTGACCAAACTTTGAAGCTAATGGAATAGTCCTTATTAAGTATTCAAAGTTCGCACAATGCCGCCCTATTCAAAGTTGAAGAAAGGTTTTCCATGTGTGCCCTTCGTTCTAGCACTGGGTTGTCTTTTTGAAGCTTGATGAGCAGTGTTGACTGGCGGCGGTGACCTGCGGCCCACTTTGTCGGGAGGGTAAAATTGCCTGCAGAAGTGCACACACAAAATAAAAGGGGAGACTGAGTCTCTCCTCCACTGTCTTATATAATTCCCATTATATTGCAGCTAAGTACTTTACACAAGTGGGGAAATATATTTCGCCAATTGCGGAGAGACTCACCCTGTGTACTTCAAAGCTGGCTGTTAAGGCGCCGGCGCCAGAACTGCTTGACTAAACTCTGTGTGCGATGAGCTTCTGCGGTAGAAGTTGGCAAAAGTAGTCACATATGACCAGTCTGCCAATTTTATGAGGTCTTGAGTTGTCACGCCTGCATTTGCAGCTGCTGGTGTGGATGCACTCCTGGTTGAATGGGCTTTGAAACATGAAGTATATTGATACTGCCCCATTGAAAACAGATTTCAGCCATCTAGCCACCGTGGATGGGACTGCTGGATGGTAGGGGGGCCTAAGGCTTGGAGTAAGATAGCAAGAGCTGAGTCATGCCAGCATTCCCATTCTGTCTAATATGAGAAGTCCTGTCAAGGTATTCTCTCAGAGTGCACACAGGGCAGAGGTTTCTGTTGGCTCCGAAGCGGACAATCTTAATGTCGTGAAAGGATTTGTTGACTGAAACACATTAGAGAACTAATGGACTGAAACACATTCATGGAGCCTGGTAAGTGTTCTGCCGTCAGAATGATACCCTTCTGGAGAAACCACACCCAAATCTCGAGTGCCAGTTGAACAAGATGCATTGAGCGCGTTCCACCCTTGTGGTTCATGTATTTTAAGAGATTGCCGTGGAGTTGTCCAACTGAAGTCGCAAATGCAAATCTCGGCGATCCCTTAATAGCGTTCTGAGCGCATGGAAGATCACCAACAGCTCGAGATAATTTATGTGGTTGATCTTATCTTGAGATGTCCAGCGACCCCCGACTCGTCGATGGTCGAGGCAGGCTCCCCAATAGTTCAATGATGCATCTGTCTGAATGGTCAGATCTGGAGTCTGCTGAACGATCGCCCGGCCGTTCCATGCTTCTGGGAATTACGTCCAATGCACGTAGTTCGTCTTTTGCCTCCTCTGACAGGAAGACTTCTGTCTCGTAGCTGTAGTGTTCCCGTAGGGACGCTATCTTGTCTATCTGAAGGTGTTGGTAGAACAACAGGGCTGGAAACACTGCCTGCAGGGTCGCTGACATCTTCCCGATCAAGCTGGCGAGAAGTTGTGCGTGCTAGCAAGACCTCTGAGCAGTGGGTGATGATCTTGTTTATTTTGGACTGATTGAGCGAAAGAGTCATGTTTTTTAGAGTTTATGATAAATCCCAGGTACTCGACTTCCTGCTTGGGTATTAGCTTGGATTTCTCCATGTTTATAATAAATCCCAAGTCCTGGAGCAGTTTCACTGCGGTATTGGAGTTGTGCAAACAATTCTGGGCTGAGGTTCCCATGATGAGAATGTCGTGCCAATAAAAGACGCAACAAATCCCTCTTTCCCGTAGTGCTGATGCAACTGGTTTCAGGATTTTGGTAAATGTCCTTGGAGCACTGCAAAGGCCAAAGGGCAGACATGGAAACTGGTAAATGACTTGTTTCCAACAGAAACGGAGAAACTTCCTATGGGTGTGATGGATCGGCACAGTAAAGTAAGTATCCTTGGGATCCATGGTCGTCAACCAGTCGTGCGGAATTAAGGGTGCAGACCACTAATTCAAGTGAGAGTTTCTGACCAGCTCATTAGCATTAAAAGTGCCCCCTTCCACAGTATCTTTTGAAAAAGGAGATTGTTTGGCCTCCAAAATGGTGAGATTGTGTAAATCCTTGCGAGGATAACTCCCTGGGTCTTTGAGCTTTCATTTGAGAGCAGAAGGGCTAAAAACTACAGTTGAAAATGGT